GTGTTTTTCTTAATGTCGAAGTCGCGAAAGGATCCAATGCGACGGGCCACCGAGACTAACTGCTAAATCATGGAAAATGCTACGCTGCCGTTCAATTGTGCAACTGGATTGGTCATTCTAGCCGGGCCGCTGCGTCTATCTGGATTGTTCCGTCCCCAGATCTTTCCAGCAGGTCGCTCAAAGAAATCCTCATTTCATTGGAATGCTTTGGATTGGTTTGCGGTGCTGCTGTAGTTTGTCCTGCTCCGTCTCGTTGGCCGCTCGGCTTCGGCTCCGATGCGGGACAGATTTCGCCGGCGGCAGCGGCGCCGCGATGGGCTCCGCTCCGGCCCAGGAATCGGATCCTGCCAGAGTAACTTATGGAGCAAGATTAACACTATATCCAGACCTTTGTCGGCGGTTCAGCGTGAAAAGGTTGAGCAGAGTTGCATACGTACTAGCAAAGACATCCGACGCCTTGCAGTGTTTCACCCTTGCGATCGGACTAGTTTGGGGCCGTGAGGTTTGCTGAACTTCTTATTCACATATATCTTCAATGTCGCTACGAACGCTCAATAATCCTCCTAGGGCACCAAATCATACCTACGTGGAGTCATTTCACCAGCTCACATTACATAACTGCTGATGTTCCATCTCTCAAAGGAGTAGAAGCTTAGTGTAATGGGTTTACAGAGAGATAGAGATCAGTTTCTTTCTGTGCAAGATGCACTCTCGGACATGGGTTGGGGAAGTGGTCGTGCGGCCGCAAGGTCATGACGCCATCAAAACATCAAACATCGGCACCCGGGAAGCTCATCCCTACAACAAGGCTCAAGCTCCCAGGACCTAGTTATCGAGCTTCTTTTGACCTCTCACTCATAACATCCCTTCCGTCGTTGAGATCTATACCATTTCACATCATCTCACATCCAAAGACAGCACAATGGCCACAAGAAAAGTCCTCATCCTCGGCGCGACCGGCAAACAAGGCTCCGCCGTCATCGACGGCCTCCTCAACCTCCCGCGCGCCAGCCCTTCCCTCGAACTCCTCGCACTCACTCGAAACCCCGCCTCGGCCAAGCTCAAGTCCCTCTCCGAGACCGCCAAACCCAAGGGCATCTCCCTCATCCCCGTCGAAGGCGACCTCAAGTCGCCCATCCCCGTCTTCCGCGCCCACCCGCGCATCGACACCTCCTTCATCGTCACGACCCCGGGCAACGAGCACGTCGTCGGCAAGGCCTGGGTCGACGCCTCCATCGACGCCGGCGCGACCCAGATCGTGCTCACCTCCGTCGACCGCGGCGGCGAGGATAAGTCCTGGGTCAACCCCACGGACGTCCCGCACTTCTACCAGAAGCACGAGATCGAGGTGCACCTCCGCGACCGCGCCGACGAGCTCGAGAAGAGCGGGCGCAGGCTGCAGTGGACCATCCTCCGGCCTACGGCGTTCCTGGACAACACCAACCCGGGCATGTTCGGCAAGGTGTTTGCGTCAATGTGGTCCACCCTCCCGGCCGACCGCTCCCTGCAGTTTGTCTCTGTGAGGGACATCGGCCTGTTTGCCGCGCGTGCGATTGCGGAGCCGGAGAGGTGGGACCGCCGGGCGCTGTCGCTGGCCGGCGAGGACATCACCTACGCCAAGGCCCGGGAGGTCTTTAAGAGGGTTGTTGGCAGCGAAATGCCGCAGACGTATGGGTTCTTTGGGCGGGGCATGATGTGGGCGATTAACGACGTGGGGAGAATGTTTGAGTTCTTCAAGAGAGAAGGCTACGGGGCGGATATCCAGATGTTGAGAAAGGAAGAGCCCAGGTTGCAGGACTTTGAGACTTGGTTGAAGGAGAGCAGTGGGTGGAGGAATGAGAAAAACGGTATGTGAGCCAATGAGTACATGGTGGATTGGGAGTTATCTTGGCGTTGATTGTATTCCACTCAGTCCGTTGAAGACTGGGATGAGCTCTTAATTAAACTGAATGTTTCTCGCGCATCTGGAACGAGATTCTTGCGGTGCCTCACATTGCTTGAGTGTGAAGTTCGCGAAGCCTCACGGTCTGCCTTCCATTGATCGGCCGGATTGCCATCACACAGCCTCAGTATAACAATTACCCCCTCCGCTTCTGCGAAGTTATCCAGCAACAGCTCCTTGCCAAGACTGTAGGGCAGAGCGGGCGGAGTCATTTGTCACGATAATTCGACCACTCTTGACCATGCAGCGCCCAATACTCTGATGTCATTCCCGCCCGACTGCGCCGCATCAGCACATAGCACAAGCGACCTCGCTGCAAAGGCTTCCGCGGGTTGAAATCCTTCACCTGTCATTGGGACTTTTGTCACTAGACCGACTGTTCCAGCCCCACGGTTTCATGGTTGCTAAAAACCATTTTGCCAATTTGAACTCGCCAAGCCAATTTGCTGGAGCTCAATCAAGCTACCCGCGGCGAGCTGCCAGTCCAAAAAGTAATATTATGACGCCGAGCGACAGGGAATCTCTACGCCCGACTTGTGTTTGTCACTCGGCGCTAAGCACTTGGAGTTGTCGATCTGCGGTCTGGGGTAAGCAAGCTTAATTGCTTCCCCCTTGCGGATGGCACCGCCCTGGTGCTTCTCACGATGTTGCCTGCGTTGTTAAAAGGAACCGCCCTCTCTTTCTGAGAGTTTTCTTCCTGATGTCGAAAGAGTCAACCCCCTCTCCCATGTCGACGGATTTACCTGCATCTGATCAATCTCATCAAACCCTCCAAAATGCCTACCGCCACTGCAACCTCACAATACGCTATCACCAACGTCGGCCCGCTAACAACGGTCTTCACAACACCGACCTCCTGCGCGACCGCATCACCAGACCTGTATCTCGCAATTAGCGGCGCGTGGGGGAACGACCGTGTCGCCGCTTACTACAAGCAGAAATGTGACTACTCAGTGCTCGGCGAGTGCTTCCCCTCTGGCAAAGTGCTCGACGACGCATACTCCGCGGACAGCACCAAGGCGGATGCAGACCGCGCGACAATCGCGTACTTCTCTCCTGCCAGCCAATGCCCAGACTCGTACACGACTGCGGGCTCAGCCCACAGGGGCAGCGACGGCAACGTTACGTCGTCCGGCGTCTTCGTGCCGCCTGTTGTGACGAGCGGCTTACGCGACGGCGGCCTGATTGGCTACAACCCACCGCTGAACGTGTTGATGGAGGTTCTTGACGAGAATGAGACAGCGGTCGTATGTTGTCCCGAGTAAGTTTCTCGGATCTTTAGTTCAGCCACATTGTTAATCGATGGAATAGAGACTACACTGTCGGCATCAATGGCGGCTGTTTTTCAACAGTCCCGGAGTCCGTGTACGGTGAAAAGACAGCCTGCGGGAGGGTCATCCCAAACGATGTCTACACCCAGGTCACAGCCGCCATAACCTACAACAACACCGTCGTGACGGGTCGTGTGATATCGTACACCGTCTCGGGGCCCATTGCGTACAGCACTCGCACCGCAACGTACACGGCCTCTGGGATCACTGAAAGCATGTACCCCGTCGCGTACAAGCCGGCCGTCACCTTGGTGAACAAGGGCGAGGCCGGGGAGACTGGGGGTGCCAGCGGCAGTGGGAGCGGCACTGCGGCTCCTTCGGGGACGGGGGCTAGTGCAGCTCACGGCGTGAGGATGACTACCTCCGGAGGTGGTGTTGGAATCTTGGCTACGGTGTGGACTTTCGCGGCGCTGGCTGGTGTTGCGCTTGCCATGCCCTTCTAAGACCAGTGGGATGTTTTGGGGGTATGAAGAATAATGTACATGATGAGATACCCAAAGGCCTTTTGCTAGTATTTTGAAAAAGATCTTTTGAGCCACCTGCCTATTGAATTACGCTGCTTTGCCGTTGATCCGCATCTCCACTGCGAAGGATTCGCCGGCCGCTGGCCAGGCAGCAATCCTGCGCAAATCGATTCGACCTCAGGATTAGGTCTGCAAATGCCAAGGGTGGTCAGCGCTGGTCGTCTCTTATCGCGAATGGATCCTCGCATCTTCGGCACCCGGCGGGCCGCTTACCTCGTCACCTGCCATATATAAACAGGGCGGCTTTTTCACAAACGATCATGACAATGCTCATCTTATTGCTGTCTCTGATTTCAACCATTCTTCCATCATCGCGGTCGAACCAAGTCGAGTCAAGCTCGCCGAATAACGCATCACTTTTCATCCAGCAACAGTCCTTCCCCACCATCATCATGTCGGCAGAAGGGAACTATACACAGCTTAGCAATGTCGCCAATGACGATGACATCGATCCCGAACATGTCAAAATCTACATGATGACAAAGCTCACCGAAGAAGAGGAACAGAAGTACCTGAAGTCTATCGACGGAACGATAGGCCAAGACGAAGGGTCCTGGGTCCACCCCAGACTGGTCCCATGGACGTCTGATACAGACGGCATCCCCGACAAAGATCTGCTCGAATACTACAAAAAGATCAAACAGGCAGAAGGATCAGAGTCGGAATTCTATGGCTTCTTCGCCGACCGCAAGAGCGTCGACGAAGGAGGAACCATCCTGGTCGACCGGGCCTGGTACGCGCTCTGCACCTCGAAAAAGGCGAGCGAGCAGATCTCGAAGTTGGCGGGAGACAACGGGATAGAGATGACTGCTGAACGGTGGATGTCGATGCCCGGATATGCGGAGGATCTCATGGATCTCGCACTCGAGCGCGGTATCGTGTGGGGAAGGGAGGCTGGGGCGCAGTGGAAGAGTGACTGGATGAATTTGGACGTTTCAAACATGGATACGGGTGAGCTTCTCGAGGATGAATTTGAGATTGTTTTGGATCCGGGGTGGGATGCTGCACCGTTTTTGAAGAGGCTTAGAGAAGAGCTGGAGAAGACGAAAGAACAGGAGGAAAGCGGATCCTTATCGGTTTGAATTGGACTATTTCACCTGTGGCTACTGACGCAGACGTTTTGTTTCCATGAATGTACATCTTCCTTAGAGAAATTGAGTACAAAATGAAGGATAAATGACTAAACCATACCGAGAGCTCGTATCAAAGACAGAGCTCTACAAGATCGTCGTAGTACTTGGTATCAAGCCTGATGCCCTCCTCGTGGCAGTCCCGGATAATCCACGCGTTGTATCGGCGTCGCCTCTCTTTCCTGTCTTTGGGCTCTCCATACTGACTCTTAGAGTTTTCCAAATACCACTCGGCGATGACCTTGAACGCGCACATCTTCAAGGTTTCTGGAGCATGAAGATCATGAAGCCGTCTTTTGGCTTCGGACCACCCATCTGCGTCAACAGCTGAAAGCCACTCCTGTAATCCGCAGTGCTGCAAGACACTGCGCCTCTGGAGAGTCTGATGCACTTCCTTCTGTGCCTCCAATGAGTTCCTCAACAGGCAATACAGACACGCTTCGGAGTACTCAGGGGACCTTGCCGCTGCCTGTATTGCGTTCTTTCCGCTTTTGTCCGATATCCAGGGATTCGCTCCGTATGAGGTCAATTGTTGCAAGTGAGAAAAGACCTTATCCTTGTTGTTCTTTTTATCGACCAGTAACATCAACAAAGGCGTTCTTCCATCCCCGTCCCTGATGTTCGGGTCTCCTCCTCGTTCGAGAACTGTCTGGAATAGATCGTGGAATGGGTGTGTGGATCCGGTGTCCCTTACACAGTTCTCTGACAAAATATGCAAGAGGGAGACGCCTGGTTTTAGACCTGTAGATGGTGGGGCTATCAATTCAGCGGAGTAGCATAGCCATCGGCCTAAGGTAGTGTCAAAACTGTCGTCAATCCCTATGCTGGGCAATATCTCAATATATTCCACTGTCAACGACTTTCCCATAGGAACCAGGGTGTCTGGATTAGCCCCGGATTCGATCATGATGCAGATAATGTTTGTCCACTCGCGGCAAGCCACCCAATGCTTGAGCTTCCCTAAATTTGCCAAAAGCACCTCAAGGGGCATTCGACCGTCTGGGAACGGCATCGTGGCACTTGCTCCTCGGGAGAGAAAGAAGTCGAGGGGAAGTCTATGCTGCTGTAAGATATAATGAAAAGGGGTGAACCCCGACCGATTTGGGGTATTGAGAGTGCAAGGTTCGTGGTCGATGAGGGCGTGAAGAGTATTGTTCTCTCCCCTCTCCGGAGTGGAAGATTGTACCGCGATATGAGCTGGTGTGTTACCATCGGCATCTTTCGTTGTTGTATCCGCACAATGCCCCAAGAGAAGAAGGGCAATATCATGGGATGCAGCTAGATGCAGCGGGGTCTTCCCAAATTTTCCTTTAGCATTCACCGTAGCTCCATGGTCAAGCAGGAGGGCGACGATCTCCGCAGAGCCTTTCTCTGTGGCATAGTGAAGTGCCCCGTTGCCCAGATGATCTTTGACGTTGACAAGTGAGAAATCTTTACGTAATTTACGTAGGGCTTCTTCCACCTCAACCTTGTCCTGTGCGAGAACAGCCAGATGGAGATCTGTTTTTCCGTCCGCACGATAGGGACTGGAGAGAGGATCAGCGACCATTGGAGATCGAATTCGAGCAACCACTTCGGGAAAGGAAATATCGCTGGGTGGGGCGGGTACGCCGGTATTTCCATCAGAATATGAATGGCTCGCAAGGTTTGTTGGAGAAGAAAGCGTTGTTGGAGCACTGATTGTGGAGTTGAAACTTCTTGTTTGCAGTTAGCTTTTTCATCCATCTCATTGACTGCAGCATAGTGAATATATGCAGCTCACCTCGTTTCTATTGCTGAGCTCGACACGACTGGAAGAAGACCTCCTAGAGGTTCGTCTCCGGTGGCGGTAGAAGAACGAGCCAGTGAGGGGGAGCGAGCTTTGTCACTTGATCGTTGACCATCATGAAGTTTGTACTTCATATAGCCCCATTTGCGTAGCTGGTTGTGATATGACCGCTCCCTAAAGAGAAGGTCAACGCAATGAGCAGATATTAAAACCTACCATTCGATGCAACTTACGACGCTTTGAAGTCATGACGAGCCTCGATTATCCTCATCACATCTTTGAGTTTTCGATTCTCTTCGCAGTAAAGTTGATGGACATCCGCTCGAAGACTACGCCAGTCTTTGGTCATCTTCAGCATCTGCGGAATGGCTCGAAAACTGAGGAGCCAGTCACGAAAACGAAGTTGTTGTTATAGGTGTGTAGTCATCACAAGCACCATCTGAATACCCGCGGTTGAAGTTCGACAGGCGTCGCTTAGCCTGGATTAGATGCTTTATCTACTTGGTAGCCAAGTTCAAGCGCCTCAGGCTGCTGACAGGCAAAGCCGAGACGGGGCCAATTCCAACCTGCATATGCAGCTGAGCCGCCATCATAAATGATAAAGACGCAAGGTACTAGGTATGCAGCTCCTGCAAGTCTTGTTGGCCAACGTCACTGCAATACAATACGACATCAAAGTGCAAATTTCACTTGATTGGATGTCCCTTTGCATCCCATTGCCTCCCTAGTGGGGCCATTTACTGGCACTGCCTAGACCAGGGAAAATTTGCATTTTGCACATTCAGAGGTGATTTGCAGTTTCCACATGTGCAAGAACCAGCAGGCATCGCAGGCTTTGACCCATGTCTATCTGACAGTCGCTAAATGTGTTCCGCGATTAGATATATATGAGCTATCATATTGCAGATTATCTCGTCTTCACATCCGGGCTTGGTATTTTGTTGTTAAATCATCGGGCGGTCTGGCCACCCCGCCAGGGGCTGTCCGCTTCGATTCCAAGGCGTCCCCCGAGCATTGCAACCCGGCTTCTGGACCTTCTATCCTCTGAGATCGATGCAGTGCCTTAAGCCTTGCCGGCTTAGGAAAGCAACTAGCTCCACGGTTCGCATTGTCTGGGGCGGGGTTGACGGGCTACATGGGGCCTGAGCCTTTTTTGCAAGCTTGCACATGTGGTTCCGAAAACCACCCGCAGCATTGACTTCGCATCATCAAGAGCTAATGAGAGCCCTGCATGTTTCCCTCCCCGACAGTGTTTCTGCAGTTTCTCTGCCTGAAAATATTCTTGCATATCTGGACAGATCATTCACATTATCCGCCGGGAGCAATAGATGGTCAAAGTTTATGACTTTCATCATGCTGGGTCTTGACCCAGTCCCTCGTGTATATAAGGATCAACGTGAGCCTAGTCATAGGTCGCCTTGGAAAATTACACTCATTGAAGAGTTCGAGAACGATTCTTTCTCCGGCCACTGTTTTTTGCTTGGAATCTCAGACTGCGGTAGTATTGGACCGATTCCCTGTCGATTTACTCAGCGATCATTCCACTACGGTCGATATGGCATCGCGCAAAGGCACATCAAGACCATTGCATGCCGCTTCCGGGTACGGGTTCACAAACTTTCGTTACAAATAACCTCCCTTTCCGGACTGTGCTGACCTTCTCGAGCCGAAGGCCCGATACCCTTGACGCGCAGGGGGGCTCGATCCAACGACACAATGGCAATAGCTCCCTTCCTAACGACCATAAGTGGGGACAATTGCCGGAGCTATCGCATAATACGATTCAGCGGCATAATGAAAATACTGCCCCGGACATCGCTGGTATCGAAGAAGATCAGATAAGGGATGGACGGGCTCTCGTACGTAATCTTGAGTCATTGGGGCTCACGTTGGAGTCCGAGATAGTACACAAGGTGGCTAGAAACAGCCATGGAATGAGTCCTATGGAAAGACTCATGAAGGAGTCACAGGATTCCACGAGAAAAAGCTGTTGACTACATTTCGAAACCGGCACTTGGTGCACGAAATCATATTATGTACAGCTTTGTTGTGTTTATAAGAAGAGATGGCGGTGTAGAGTACAACCTGCTTGCGTATGGATTTCTGCTACCCATCTAGTCGAACAATCCTAGTCATGCGTACGGATTGCAGCAAGAATCCCTATCGAACCTCAATAAAGCCTCCCGCTGTCTTAGTTATTCACGTAATATCCCGGTGAGCAGTTTCTGCATGATGATATTGAACGAATCTCGAGAAATATGTGGCCTTTGACTGCCTGTTCTAAAGACATAGATTTTCCCACGCCAGCATTTTACAATAACTCACTATTACGGGCTCAATATCTAGCAGTAGGGAGAGGAGCGACAAAATGTACTAAGCACAGAATCTCCGCTATTATAGCCAGCCATCACGACGAGGCACTGAAATCAATGGCTGTCCTTTGCGACCGTCGAAAAATTCCTTGTATCTCTAAGATGGCACAAGATCAGAATATTCCTCTGCACTGTCAATGCGGCGGTTTGAAGTTACAAGAAGCTTGCCCTGGCGACCGTCGTTGATAGCGTCATGCCATACTCGATACTGCACAGATTCCAAACAGGATCAGGGACCTGAGTTGAACACCTGTTGACCTATTGGTGTTTCCCTGCGGAAAAGCTGGACTGGGTCTGGAAGAACAAAGTTCGTAAACTACGAGCATCTCAAAACACATTGGTCCATTTTTCTACCTTCAAGTCGATGTATAACGACAGGATTGGTTGATGCTCTTATTCCCAATCCCATACCAGTGATGTGCCACTGGACGCCCTTTCCTCGCATCTTTGGGGCAATCACCACGATTTGAATCTCCGGCCCTGCTCCGATGTCTACAATTGTGGTCCTACAGCGTCAGACGGTCTGGTAGGTCGAAAGGTGACACAAAAAAAGACTGCGTACCATATACGTTATAGCCTGCTCGAAGAAGCTCGATTGCATCCTTGCGAACACCCTTGTCGACAAGCTCGGGATCCCAGCCTTCAGCAAGCGCCAGCGGATGGTACGGCTGCAGGCCCCTGGATCGTGCGAGAGGGTCAGCAATTTGGGTTGAGAGCGAGGCAATCGTTGTTTCAACTTCTCTTACGGGTGAAAGACGTTGATGACTTCTCCGTTACTGCTAGAAAAACTGGATGCAGATTCCGTTTTCTCCCCGAGCTCATGTCGGCTGAATGGAAGAGAACTAGTGCGTGGTGATACAATTTCGTGTGTCCTGATTCTCTGCGTTTGATTCAATGCTTACGAAGAAGAAAAGAGTCGGATGACTGAGAGTGCGGGGCCCATGGAACTAATACCTCGGTCTTGCTGGTATCGGCACTGGCAAGCATCTTTGAGCATAGCAGAAGGCACATGGTTACTTGGGGACACTCTAAGAAAAGTTATGCAACAGCAGTTCACAGTTGTGTTGTCAGCATGATTGTGCCGTTGTGCCAAGGCCATGACTGAGACGATGCATGGCGCGTTCTACACTCCTCGCAAGATACGGTATACGGTGAGCGAAACTTCATTTGGTTTAGCGCGACCTGATAACCAAGTTCGCGCAAATACATACGCAGCTTGCCACACAAAAGAACTAGTATCTGCCGCAAATCCTACGCCTCGTAGATCCCACCATACCAATGTAAGCTCCAGGGATAAATCATCAAGCCATTGGTGATGTAGACCATAGCCTTCACAATCCCAAGTGTTAGAACAGTCCCTCAAAGTCGACTCAAATTTCTTCTATTTCCACTTGGTTTGGGACCTTGACCTGTTTAGTCGTCTCATTGCTGGAATTGCATGGTTTTAGTGAAGACGGCACCGTCCTTAGGATCATTGAATGGAAATGTAGAGACTAATGAGATGGCTCCTGCACAAAAGCAGAAAACGGACCCAACTATAAATACGCATCTGCTCTTCTTTCTTCAGCATCAGTTGAAACGCTAATCATTTCACAGCATCTCAAATCAAATTCCTTCAAGCTCAAACATGTCACCTTCCGTATCTTCGCCGTCTGTCACCACAGGCGACTGGCTCAATGCTGCAAGCTATAGAAGAACAATCTACGGCGCGAAGGGAACTTCTTCCGTTCTTGATATTCGGCTTCGATACATCATACAAAAGGTAGTACTTGATATCCATATGCAAAGCGACCTAGCAGCTGCCTGAGGTGACGGCTCATGTTCAAACAACGATCCCTCGCCTGGCTCAAGATCATTCGTTCCTAATGCGCGATATCCTTGCCAAAGTAGCCATCCATCTATCCTAGTTACATCCAAATCGGAAAGTCTATTAGCTTCAGGTCACCACGGACTTGGTCTGCCAGACTTCAGGGCAGCACTGCAGAACATGAACACGGACAACTGCGATGCATTAATCGCTTGTTCCAAAGGCTTGGTATGGTGCGCCTTTGCCTGGCATGAGTCATTCTCCACCAATACACAAGCGGTCTCAAGTGTTGGGAACCTTAGCTGTCTGCCTCAGTGGCTCAATCTCCTCCGTGGATCCTGCCTCATAGTCGAAGCGTGCAGGTGGTGGACGACTAATTGCCTATACGCTCTGCCGCCAGCGCTTGACGACATTACTGAATTCTCGAACAGTGTGGATGTCTGCCGAATATCTGCTTTGAAGTTGCGATTGATCTCCACAGTGCCTTCTCCGACACGTGTGGCCGTGACGTTTGCTCTCGCTGCTCTTGAATATTCCTTCGCACAAGCCTCTTTGCGCAACACCCCCTTCCGCAATGCAATTAACTATTGGGATGGTCCTTTACCACTCCAAAACAAAGAGCTGTGGGCCCTAATTGTGCTAGCTCATTTCTGTGTTCTAGTTCACCATTCCGAAACACCTTGGTTTATGAAGGAGCATGGAACACGACTCCTCTAGTCCATAAGGATCCTTACCAGCTTCTGTAAGCTGTGTGAGCTGTCAATGAAATGCTGAGACTTGATTATGCCCGTCTTGAGGATAATCAAATTAATTCTGAGAAGCTTTCTTTAATCTGTGTGTGATGGGTGTTTCATGCCCTCAGTCGCAACTGTAGGTACCTCAGAAGACGTAGTCAAACGGCGGGAACAACACACAACGAAATAGCGTGGCTGTTCATACCTGGCTGACATCGACTAGAACATCAGAATTAAACTCTTTCAACTTAATCAGCATCACACCCATGCGTTTACACATTTCCTGAACTCGACAGCCTCGTCAATCCACTCTCCGATCCACCCGCAGGTGAGACTACGGGTAGAAAAGATCCTGTACATCCCAGTCTAAATCATCAATCGCAGATGACTCATAATAGATATCCCAGTCTGAGTCCCAATCAGGGGCTAAGTCTGCGTCCGAATCCGTGTCCGAATCTGGATCTGCATTGCACGGGCTTCCTGTTTTCGAACAATCAGGGCGATTCGGCTCTACCCATTGCATCTGAGTATCGTTTTTCGTGACGAAGATCCGAATTACCTTATCCTTCTTGTGCCAATTGCCGACGCAGTAGAGTTTGACACTACGCTTTTGAAGCTCTCGAAAGATGAAGTATGCCCTCTGGTACACGGGCTGCAGCTTGTGCAAATGGGAAAATACCACGGAGCTGATCGCTCGAATGCCTGCATGTCGAGTTTTCCTACGATAACGTCTCCGCCAAATCCAGCCGCACTCTATCCATACCTCCTTGAGACTATGCATTTTCAGAGTCATTGCTAGACGATCGCGGCGGACTGGGTCGGTACAGTCGAGCAGGGGGACATGATAGCGCTGAATGTAGTCGAGGACTGTCTGCGCTCCGCTCCCCGGGCTTTGCAGAGTCCGTACGAGACGCTTATCGTCGGCTGCTACCTCTAGCTCCAGGGAATTGAAAGTGTTCCACGCATAAGGTTGGTGTGTAGTTGCGAAAAGGTCAATCTCAGGGAGTACCAGCGCTGTGACGGGCTTATTGTCCAGGTGATAGAATGCATTGGCTGGGCGAAATTTTCGTTTAATCAAGTGGCAGGTTGTTTTGCTTACCTGACGAAGCAGCCCTGTAGCTCGGAATCGTTGTCTAGGAACCTCGTTCCGATACTCATACTCCATTTGGTTGTGGAGCGCGTCCTCCTCGCTGGCAACCCCCAGGGAAAGTCTTCCAGTCCACGTCTCCATGTCGCTGTAAAGTAGTAACCAGGGGGTGGGTTCCTGAGATTCAACTGCTTCATCAATCAGAATATCGAAGACGAGCAAGAGAATATCATTAGGGACAAGTATTTGTGTCTCGGAGTTGAGCGTCTTTTGGAGACGCATATGAGCTGAATGAGGCGAAACCAAGTTTCATCGGTGTCGTCGGTGTCTTCGGTGTCTTTGGTGTTAAATAAAGGGTTGTAAGCTGGAGTGGTTGAATGAGTTTAGAGTATTGAAGTAGTTGCTATGTTACGTTTTACAAGTCTCATTTAATGGGTTGCTTGTTAGTAGGTAGCCAGCTTTTCTTATCTGGCGCACGAAAAGACAGGTGGTGCACAATGAACAATATGAAAAAACAATTAGGAATGAGAGGGACATTAAAAAGCGGAACAGTACTAAGGGACTTTTGAACAAAGACTACAAACATAATGCCACAAGTTCATATCTTCTGCGTCCTTTACCTGCTATTATACCGTCGTGCTAGACGTTCCAAACACAACGTCTTTCAAACTATGGAAATATGCCTCACGGGACGAAGGCGCTTATCAGCTGTGCATCTGATTGGGCCGCTTATGAAGGTGATGTCGGGCGCAAGTGGGTTTGTTGGTGCGCAGCTGATAATAAAAGGCTGGTGACCCCCCCCCCCCCCCCCCCCCCCCCCCCCCCCCCCCCCCCCCCCCCCCCCCTTTCCCCCC